ACTGGCTTACTCATTTTGGAGTTTGAAAATATGACATGTGCTTGTCCGTGGATTGTCTTAGACAGTGCACATGCGGAAATAATCTTTTTTATGTGCTCTCTAGTAGTTTATGGAAGGATAATGGTAAAGGATAAGGCTCTTGGCGTTGATTTGTCCCAGAAGGCCATGCACTCGACTTCATTTAGCATCGTTGGATGTGACTAAATGGACATCTGGCCTTTGCAATAACTTGCGGTAGTCGACGGATGGATCGGGCCAGTGCTGCTATTCTTCCAGTCATGTGCGCTACCAATTTGCCGACGTCGAAGGAATGAAGGGTTTGGTGAACCTGGGGTGCGGCGATCGACCTCATGTGTGTTGCAGGGCACCTCCGACCACTGCGCTACACACGCTCTCAGTTTATAAAATGCAGTAAGCAATTCATTATTTCCTATATGGCACGACGGCTGTGTTTCTACTTTCTATGACATTTTGCTGCATTGTGATAGCATGATTTTACTATCCGATGGCCATACTAGCTCTTGCTTTGGGCTTTCGTATACATTTTAATTCTTATTTTATTAAATTATTACGTGAACTGTATGTTACAAGTTTCAGCTCGTTCGAAAATATCTCAAAGGAGGAATCACCAGCATCTTTACTGAATGACGGCATTGTTGGTATTTCTTAAGTTTGTTTCTGGAGCTTTGAACTCTCTCGTGTTTTTTTGAAGTTTTCTAAGGCATTACTTAAAAAACTACTGTTGCTGATAGCACTGATATCTGCTTGAATTTTTCTATTTTTATTTATTTACATGATCAGCCATCGCACATTTTCGATTTCTGGAAATTCTTTCATTCGATTGGTTTTTTTGGCATCAACACTTTCTTTACGAATGTCCTTAAACGCTACTTGGGTCGATTCTGCCTGGAGTCCAGAGGTAACTCCTCTACGGTAGCGTTCTCTGGTTATTATCAAAAGCAGTCGCCAGCCTTTGTGGATCAGAAGGAGCTCTTCCCAAACAAGACTAGTGCCAATTGGCTAACCCGGAAACATTGGGAGGCTTGAGTGGCATAGGAGCTCTCGAGCCCAGCGTGTCTGGGAGTGTTATTGCATTATATCTCTAACTACTGTTCTTCCCAATTCCGTCTGCTTAAATTATAAAAGTGAAATTTCTGACAAATATATATATTTAGTTTATTGATTAGGTTGTTCGTTATGAAAGCAGTTGACGACGGATAGTTGAGAAGAACAATCGAGTACACCTCAAAATAGTGTGTTTCCAAGGACGGCCAGTTACAGGATGCGGGAACACCATCGCTTGTGACTTTAATTATAAATGTAATTATAATTGGATTTATTAGTGGCGCACTGGTACTTTAGAGGTCGCCGTGAAGGAAACAAACCATTCCGTTTGCGAACTATCGTTAGCGACCGAAATGACGAGAAATTATGGTGAGACTGGACCCGTTATTCGTGAAGTCGAATAATCCATTCAGATCATGCAGATATATTATCGAAGAAACTATGACGGTATTTGACAATATTAATGATCGAATCTACAGTTCCGATTGGAAAACAATGCGTTCATGGAGAACTGGGCTCATAAATCACTTGATGAAATTTCTCAATAAACTTACTTGATACTTGAACGGCCCATCCTCACTGGTTGTGTGGGCTCCAGCATAATCTCCATTTTTCGGAGATTTGTTGGTTAAGTCATTGTGGTTCCCTGGATTGCCGAAGTCAGTCTGTCCAAAATCTGCACCAAGTCTTCATCATCACAGGTAGTCGCAGCCCTTGTGGATCAGAGGGAGATTTATCACCATGCGACTTTGATACCAGGACGGTGGTGGATCCTCGTAATGATTTACTCTTAGCTAGGCTTCCTGATGGAAACGCAGGACTCGTTTTCAGCTTGGAAGACGCTGCCAAGGGGATGAATTCCCCGTTGTACATCGCAGACCCAGTAACACCTCCCAGCCACGATGAGGCGGTAAACCATTGGGAAGTCCTCAGTAAACAACTGGTATTAATTCACAATGCCCGTATTAGTTACAGCGTTTCATTCCGTTAACAGGTATGTTCCTGTACTCGCCAATATAAAAAGAGTTATGAGAGGTATTTGGGGAATGTGAAGTATAAACAAGGCGCTGAAAAGAAAGAGAGTTGGAATAAAAAGAAGCGATAGAATAATGAGAGAATCAGAGGAAGACTCAGGCACACACGTAAAAACCATAGGCGGACTAAGGGAGGAGGTTAACAAGATCAAGTCAGTCCTTTTTCAGAGAAGCGTCTTATTACCGCTATCTAGACTTTTCTTTTTATTGAGGTTGAAGCTAAAAATAGGAGATTCTGTTAAGCCCACGGCGCTCACTCCTATTACTGAAAAACAATAGGTGAGTTAACTTGTATTCACTTCCTATTCCCCTTTCTTAGCAGGCTGCAATACGAAATATAACCACAGTGATGCTGAGATATAAACAAAATTGGAAACCTCAAGGGGACTTAGAACCCACGACTGCCCAAACCGGGCGCTCACCTGGTATCCACTACACCAACTGAGGCCCTACCTTTACTTTTCTCTCAGCCATACTTTAACTCTCTCTGTGCTATCACAATCATCTGTCACCAGGAATAGTTGGGAGACACAAATCGGTATTGAGCCCAGTTAAGCTGAAGCTACAGTTGATCTCACGATGTTTTTACTTTTGTTTTCTGTCTAATCTTTTTCATGGTAGACGTGATGTGAAACACAACCACAAAGATATGATACAAAGATATAACGAAAACTCGGAGCCTCAAGTGGCCTTCGAACTCGCGATTTAGAAGTGAGATTGCTGATAGCATAGATAGTCTTAAAATATGGCTGAAAGAAAGGCAAAGAAAGACCTCGCTTGATGTAGTGAAAAGCAAGCATTTGCCTGAGGTCAGTCACTGATTCGAAACCCACCTCTTATCCTGAGTTCTTCTCATATTTTAGCATCTTTGTGGTTGCACTTCACGATAAGTGTCATTCATCAATCAGGCCGTCTTTTCAACTGCTTCCCATAAGTTTATCTCTTCAAATTTGGTTTTTCAAGGCTTCTTTAAATATAATAAACATAAATATATAATATAGACTCGTTAAATATATCTTTCTATTTTTGTTCAGCAAACACGAGGTGCTATTTTATTTCTTTATTTACGTACAAGCTGACGCTTTGGCGGATTTCGCCTTTCTCAGAGCCTGGAAGGGTCAAGTTGACAGCAACCTATCCGGCCAAACACCTCCATAACCAAACAGAGAAAACGCTAAACCAAGATTTCAATCACATTTAGCATAGCTTTGCACACTCACCACTTTATATGAGTCTTCCACTGAGTATGTCGCGTGAAGACCGACCGCACAGAATTCACATGGAAGCGTAATGTGCCCCTCCCATCAGAATAACAAGTTTATATACTGTCCAATATCACGCGTGATAACGAGGCATTCCTCCCTGCGGTTCATTTTCGGTTTCTTGGAATTTATCCAGAATGCCTCTAGAGTTTTGCGCGCATGTGTTCTCGATTCTTGCGCGAGGATCGTAACCCTTACTTCAAAATCTTCTCCGTTATGTTTCTGCGTGCTATGCGTACCTAGTGGAGTATTTGGTTTACGTTTGCCGACTAGGTGTTCTTTTATACGTACGCAGAGTGGTCTACCCGTTTCGCCAACGTATTCGTCCCCGCACGCTTTACAAGAGATCAGATAGACTGTACCCGAACTCATGCAGTCACCGTCTCTAGCATTGGAGCAAATTATGCAATTTTGCGTTGCACATAGACGGTCGTATAGGCGGTTACGAACTAGCTGGCGCCTTAGATTATTCGGTGGTATTTCGATTATCGTTACCGATTTCTCTAGACTGGCCCTTCTTAAACAGCGTTTTATAGCTGCACTTACTTCATTTGAAATGAAGGGCAGTATAAACGTGACCTTGTTGTCGCTAGAGTTATCGTTGGGGTACCTGTGGTTTCCTCTACACCTATCTGGAGCTACGGTTTCGTTAGCCATTAAAAATGGCTATTTGCCGCCCCAAGTTCAGGGACTCCTCTCTCTGTTGTCTCCCTGTGCAAACGCTGGTAGCTGTTCGATACATGTTTCTCACAAGCGCCCTTTTCGTGTGAGAGGGATGAGAGGAGAGGTAATGAAGTAGGATGTTTTTACTACTTGGCTTTCGATACCACTTCGTAATGTAGCCGTTTTCTGATAGGCTAATTTGCACGTTCAGAAATAGAAGCTAGTCTTCTTTTGGTTTCTGTCGGGTGAATTTAATATACTCTAACTGTGTGTTCAACAACTCGAAACATCTGTCGATTTCTTCTTGCGTTGAACAAATGACCAAGCAGTCATCTATATATCTACAGTAGAGTAACGGACCGAGGTGGATTACTGGCGCTTCCACCTTAGACATGAATGCAATGGCAAGGCTTGGAGCCAGTCGTTGTCCCATTGCCAGCCCTCTCATTTGTGCCGACCATCTGAAGATTGAGCAGTTCAGGCACTCCTTTAAGAGTGTCATCAACTGCTGAATCGAGAAGCCGTACATGTTTATTGCTCCTTCGTGTTGTATAAGGAGCTCGTTTATGGCTTTNTTTGTGCCGACCATCTGAAGATTGAGCAGTTCAGGCACTCCTTTAAGAGTGTCATCAACTGCTGAATCGAGAAGCCGTACATGTTTATTGCTCCTTCGTGTTGTATAAGGAGCTCGTTTATGGCTTGCATAGCGGAGTCATTCGACACGTTCGTATAGAGGGCAGTGACGTCGAAGGACTCCACCACGTACGCGCCGTTGGGTCGCGCGTTACGTAGACGATCCAGGAACATTTGGGTGTTCGTTAGATGAGCTGGAATGTACTTCAACAAATAAATAAATAAATATAGAATAAATAAAATAAATAAATATAAATATTAAGTAATTCTTTAAATAATGTAAACATTTAAATATAGATATTTTGCTAGAAATATAGGTGTAAGAAGTGCTAGGGGTATGTAAATGCAGTGCGATAAAAAGAAGGCTGCAGTTGAGACAAAAACACTATTCACAAGCGTTTGAAAAATGATGACGCAGTCTGCGTTCAATGAGTTCGGGTTTCGATTTTTTAAAAGACGTGCTTTAATGTTTCGAAAAATTAGCCAGCCGATCACCAGCATGGTTCTCCCGTGATCACCAAGCCTCCCATCCCTCTGGGGTCGGTAAGTGCCAGACTCCTCTGGGTTTAGTTCACTCTGCCTAACCCATGAAAACACCCTAGAACTGCTTTCCGTGACTCTACGGAGAATCATGTCGAGCACTTTTCAACGAAATTCGTTGTATATAATGCTGAGATATTTGCAAGACTCCGGACCGCAGGTGTATGCGGTGGGGAACGAACGCGCTATTGTCCTTACCGGGCAGTAGCGCACTTCACCACCACACCATCCGGGTCCTTCGTTTTGCCTGTCTCTCAGCTAGTTCTATTGATCTTTTGCCATCAGCAATCACCCGTTAACGGGATTGATCTGGGAAGCCCAAATTGGTATTGAACCCAGTTAAGCTGAGGCTTAGCTAATCACAATCTTAATCCTTTTATTTACTGCCTTTTTCTTTTTAATGGAAAGGACAATAGCGCGTTCGTTCCCCACCGCATACACCTGCGGTCTGGAGTTTTGCGAATATCTCAGCATTATATACGAGTTATATTTCGCAACATACCCTGCCATTAAAAAGAAAAAGACAGTAAATAAAAGGGTTAAGATTGAAATTCGTAGTGTTCGAAGACCTTCGTAGGTAATGGATACTAAGAAATGAATCGAATGCAAAAAGTGCTATGATCTGTGCAATAGATGTGAAGGTTGGTCGTGTGAAACAAATAGCTCAGAATATGACTTAAGTCCCAATTTAGTTCTCTTTAAGTCGTTTTAATACCGTTTCTCAGCTCTCCTTCGCCACCACTATTGACTATGTTTATCTGGTGCTCGGTACATTGTCATCTTTTCTCCATGGTGCTGGATTCTCAGTGCTGGGTATAGTGCTGGGTGGTATGACGAGTGTTTTTCTTAGAGCGCAAAATTCTGAATTCGTCTTGGGTATCGGCAACACAGATGCAAAAGGACTGCCTGGAATCACACAGTGAGTGCTTTTCTTCAGTGTTTGGGTGTCCTCAACATATGAATGAAATGTCGTGCGCCATTGCTCATAAGTCTGAGCTGAGCTAAGAACAAATAGTAACTTTTCAATACGACTGTCCTACAAGCACGTTTTATCCACATAAACATCGATGTTCAAGTGTTATTCTTTTACTGGATGTATCCTTCATTTTAGGGAAGAATTCGTTCACGAAGTTCAGATGTATTGTTACTACTATTTTGTGCTAGGTATAGCCATGTTTATCACGTCTTACATACAGGTATGATATCAACCATTTACGTCAAGCTTAACTTGTTGTCAGTTTCTTTACTACCCTTTTTCATCTACAGTCGGTTAAGCATCTCCATAACTAACGATAACCGTCATAGATTTTTTTCTGGGAAACGTTCGCTGAAAAGATCACCCATAAGCTGCGTCAAGAATACTTGAAAGCGATTCTCAGGCAACAAATTTCGTGGTTCGATGTCCAACAAGCAGGGAGTCTGACTGCTAGACTCACGGAGTAAGATGAACAAGGCGACATTTTTTTTGGACTTCTCATATGACCCACACCAATTCATTTATGAGAAATCATTGCACTCAAGCAATTTAGTGACTTTGAACGGGTCCGAGAAGGCCTTGGCGACAAGTTCTCTCTATTCATTCAAATGCTCTCGGCATTTGCTGCTGGATTTGGTGTAGGATTCGTGTACAGGTAATTCCAATCTCATTTTTGAAATAGGGTAGAGCTACCGTACATAGTGATGCCATCGTTTCCATTTCAGTTGGTCAATGACACTTGTAATGTTGATCGTTGCTCCGTTAATTGTATACTCAGCAAACTGGATGTCAAAAATTGTTGCTACAAGGTACCGTCATTTTTCTTGCTGCTTTCCTCGCAGGCAGGTCTGGTACCAATTCCTCGACCCCGGAGGGATGAAAAGCTTGGTGAGCCACGGGAGCAGGGATCTATCCCGTGTGTATTGCAGGGTATTTCTGACCACCCGACCACTGCACCACACGTGCCCTTAATTTCAGCCTATGTATTTTTGTAATATAGAACCTTATCGTTTGTGTTCTTCCTTCATACGGTATATCTAGCATTAAGATGTATTCCTTTTAGGACACAGGTCGAACAGGAAGCCTACGCTATATCTGGGGCTATTGTTGAAGAGACATTGTCATCAATAAGGACTGTACACTCCTTATGTGGTCATAAAAGGGAACTGAAGAGGTGGTTAAAGATATTTTTTGGGGTCTTAGTATAAGGAACGGCATATTCTTTCTTTTAAGGTTTGAAGAGTCACTGGAGAAGAGTCGAAAGATGGGCTTGGTCAAATATTTCTATATGGGTGTAGGTGTTGGATTTGGCCAACTGTGTACTTACGTTTCGTATGCGTTAGCTTTTTGGTAGGTAGGCTTTTTGGTAGTCATAATTATAATGCAATCTAGTGGTACCATAGAGCTTGATTCTTTTCGGCGTAAACGTCTTTGAAGCTTGTAGTTTCTAAGATCTCTAAAATGGTAATGAGCAGTTTCAAAATCAAAGTTCGTTTTTAGGTACGGCAGTGTTTTAATTGTTAACGACCCAGAAATTGACCGAGGATTTATTTTTACGGTGTGTTCTGCTTTGATTAGCTATCATATACATTTTATAGAGCGAATTTAAGCCCAGCTTCGTCTGCCATTTACGAAGAGGATGCATCGTCTGAGAAAGTTATACTTAGGTATTTTTCGCCGTCATGTCCGGTTCAACAGCCCTTGGTGGCTGTCTGCCACACCTTGGTACTATCTCGATTGCAAGAGGGGCTGTGCGTAGTTTGCTTAATGTGATCAACACTGTAAGACTTGCTGCATATGTCATTCTAAAGTACTATTAGGTACACTAGTTTAAACAAAATGTATATTGATTGCTTGCCATTTTATTCCAGCGTCCAAAAATCGATCCATATTCACTCGATGGAATCGTTTTGAATAATCTAAAAGGCACGATTCGTTTCAAAAACGTTCACTTCTCATATCCGTCCAGAAAGTCTGTTCCTGTGAGTTTTTTCAATCGTTTAGACAACTAAGGGAGGTAAATTGATAATAATGTGATATTGAGGTGTTGAAAGGAGTGTCCCTCTCTGTGTCGGCTGGTCAGAAAGTCGCACTAGTGGGTAGCAGTGGATGTGGAAAGTCAACAATCATCAATCTGCTTCTCAGATTCTACGATCCAACCAAGGGAAAGGTGAAAATTGTACTATTCTTAACTGTTGATAATTTGTCGGTTTATTTTTGTTTACTATTTGTTTACCATGCCACGACTGAATAATTTATTTGATATCTTTTTTCAAGATCACTGGTTCAACCTCACTCAGAGTCAACCAAACCCTTTCCACTCCATATTGCTTTGGGATCGGGAAATTGGTACTAGAGTTCGGCTGGATGAGCTTTCTCCGATACACAAAGACAACCGACTGCTTGCGGTGACATGGTAACGCCTTAGCAGAGCTATCACAGTGTCCCAGAGAGAATCTTCTCAACCATCATTCAAGGCCATTTATGAAGTTAACCGAATCTTGAAGGATCAAGAAGGCAGTCGAATTTGCACGTAAATTCAAAGACCTTTGTGTGTTGAAATGAGAGCGCGTAAGTATACCTTAACACATATAACATCTAGTTTCCATTTTGAACTCCTTTTTTGGCGAACTTCATTGTTGCTAAGTACGTCATTTTTTGGCTTTTATCTTCTTGAAAGCTGTCCGCTTTCATTCGTTACTATGCTAAGCTAGATGTGAGGTTCGACATATTTTCGAACTGTATTGATTTATTGGCTCTGAATATCAGGCATCTTCGATAATATGTCATAGAGGTTGCGATTTTATCCCAAGAAGTTTCGTCCGAATCGGCGCCAGCTCCTTTTGGGTGTTGTCATGCCGGATGTTATATGCAACAGAGTTATCTGTGGTTGACATGAAGGTCACTTTTTGCTTGTCAAGGTTTCTCCATTCCTGCAGTTCTGCTCTTACCGCATCGAAGTCATTTAGCTGTGGATAAGCCACCTGCTAGAAGCGTCAGTTTCCTTCAAAGTCTTTTTTCGCTTGCAGCTTTTTTTTAGTGAATGCTGACCAGGAAGTGCACTGACTATTAGCTATGTTAATGCGCTGGAGCACAGGATCAAACCGAAGTGACAGTGTTTTCCAAGAAGAGGACGGAAAATATTCTTAAGCATGGGATGTCTACGTAAATGATGGGGAAATAAGTAACTATTTTGGGGACTTGGAAGTCTTTCTGCTTTCTCTCTTTGTTAAGCTTACATGAGGTTGATAAATAATTTTTACTCTGCTAATGTTTCAACGTCTTCGTCTTCATCAGAACCGATGATCCGAGTCGATAGTCCACGGTTCTTCTTGCTCTTGATGTGGCGTCTTCGCCTTCCCATCGAGTTGTGTCGTCTCAGCAGAACATCTCTCGAATCTTTCTGTTTTTACTGCCTAGAAGCGAAAGTTCCGTGATTTATTCCAGCGTTCAGAATCGAAGGCATTGCTTTATAAACTCTCTTATTGTGCAATTCTTCAAACCTTCGCCTACTTATTATCTTAAAAGGATAAAGCTCTCGGCGTTGATCAATTCCTGAGGGATGCGCCATGCATTCGACTTCATTAAGCATCGTTTGGAGGTGATTGAATCCATGTTTGGTCTTTACAATGACTCGCAATGGCCTACCGATGTATCGAACCAGTGCTGCTGTCCTCCTCTGGTACCGATTTGCCCACTCCGGAGGGATGGAAGGCTTGGTGGGCCATGGGAGTGGATATCGATTCTGCGTGTGTGTTGCAGTGCGCTTCCGACCACTGTGCCACATGCGCCTTGATGTATACTATACAGTATACTAATGATCTGAGTTCTGACCAAAAAAAATCGCATAAGACATGAAAAAACAAGCCGGTAAAACTCCAATTGGGTTTATTTATAGAAATATCAGGCGAAATTTTGATTCATTTGAAAGGAATAGTAAGCAGTCGTTTCTACAAGTTTTTCGTCCGTCAAATAAAGCATGTGCAGACTTCTAAAGTCTTATGGCAGTGAACTTCTGTTTTCCAGGTGATGATCGACGATATTGACGTTCGCGATTTGAACGTCTATGGCCTACGTGGGAAGATTGGCGTAGTTAGTCAGGTATTGTTTCCTTTAAAGATGGTGATCCGTGGGTGATCAGATGAGTCCTATAGAAACGCTTTCAAATCTTCTTTGGCGGCCAGAGAGGAATATGTTGCTCTAAAAAAAAAGTTACTTTCCCTGTTAGGTTACGATTAGCGATAGGGCACTCTAGAATGCTTAATATTGGAGAATTATATGTTTGTATCTCAGGTGGGATTCAATTTCTCTAGTTACTACTCGTCTTTTTATTTCTCAGGATATTTAAGATATAGCACATACCTTAAGAAATTTTCATCTCTCTAACAGTGCTTCTGGCCGTCACTTTCCTTCCAATATGTGTGGAATTGCCTGTTAACTCGGCGAGAACAGTTCACACCCACGTGCGCATCCGGATTCGTGGTAGAAGGGAGTTTTTCCAGACGAGTCAGGCACAAATTTGATGTCGCGGGAGGAACCGCTGCTTCTTCAGCCCTGTTGGGCTCTAACTTGACCACGTGTGTCTTGCACAACGTTTGTACGCAGCACTCAATGCGCACCGTTGAATATTACTTTCGTAAACTTATTGTGTTTACTATGGTTTTTACAGGAACCTATTCTCTTCGATGGAACAATATACGAGAACATTAAAATGGGTCATGAAGATGCGACACTTACCGAAATAGACGCGGCATGCCAACTTGTAAGTTTCTAATTTTGTGGTTGAGAAAATGGGCCTGACAGCATATATTGATTCTTTCGTTTGACTTGTATCTTGGGTTCTACATCTACAAAATTCTTCGAATTTTCACGTGCTTTCGGCTTTTGCCTGAGGATTTCATCCTCGCTATGAATGTCACAGAACGCTGGTCGAACAAATTTTCCTTAGATTTCTGCGATAGCAATGCCATGTTCCCAGGTTTCCATCACAGGCGCCAAGCTTTGTGTTTCTTAAGTAGCTTCCCAATTAATTTGAAGCACTTTCCCCAAACTCTGAGAGACTGAGATCTTGGATGGCGTAGGATAGTGTCAAACTAAGGCCTTCTTATTATGGGATAACTTCTTTGTCACTGCACCATTCGCGCTTTCTCTTATTCCAACTAGAATTTAAAAAGGATAGGACGTACGAGAATGTGGATTATTGTTTAACATTGGGCTTATAGGAGTTCGCACTTAGAGTCCGATGTAAGTTGACCTATGTTCATACGTGGTGGCAGATTGGACGATATGAGCTGATAGGAACTCACTTATTTTCCCATCTTTTGTTTTACCACGCGGAACATCTTTCGCTATGGTGGTTTTTCAACTCATTGGTAGCTCATCTAAAGCAGACCACTGTACTAAGTGTTGGATCGGAAAACTATTTTTTATTCCTAATAATATGTAAAAATATTATCTAGACGAGCTTTTTTAGTAAATCTGAAGAGACTGTTGGTGGTGAGGAAGTTAGAAAGGTGGAAATCGTATCATAAAAGAATAGAAGAAAAAAATAATGTACTAAGATTTTTCAGCTTCCTCATAAGTCCCGTGGCAGCTAGTACATAATTCAAAGATGTGCACTGTATTTAATGCATGCGTTGAAGGAAAAGTGGATGAAGTGCATCATATCCAATCTATTTCCTCTTCATTTGTTTACTTTGACCATCAAGCTTTTTTCTGGACTTTTGCACTAGACCGATTGCTTGCCCATACATGTATACTAGTTCGGCCAGTTCACAAAAATATAGTAGTTGGCTCAGTAGAATATGGTTTTTGGAAGTAGCTGTTAGAACCGACTCATCACTAGATCGAAATAGAATGCTTCGTTCGTATGATTTTGCCACTTGCGTTTCGCCGTTGCCACAAAGGAGATCTGAACCTTGGGTAAGTAAACCTTTATACAGAGCAATGACATTAACACAACAGTAGGAACATTACAGTATCAAGCAATGCAACGAGCATAAACGATAAGGCGACAACAGAATTAACAACCGCGGATGAAATGGTGAGGGAGTTGCCTTTAAAATAGGAGAGTAGACTTGACAATAGACTGCTGAAGCAAGGCGAGAAACGAGTGTCGCATAGGTTACAATAACAGCGGAACAGTGTGTTTAATATTATAGGAAGCGCATGTAGGAGTATATTGACTTTGACGCATAACTATTATTAGAACAGTGACATACGTAACATGCGGTAGCGATTAATGCTGCTTATATGGATGAACTGGTCAACAATTGGAGATGGAAGATGAAAAAGCAGGAATATGAGAGCTGTAGCAATGTATAGGCGGACGAAAAGGATGCTTGTTTTCGTTCTGGGGTGGGTGAAACCCCTTCCCAACTAATGTTTTGTGCGAGTGAAGATGTTAATATGCAAGGGAATTCCGGAACCTCCGTCATTGGTCTTTTGAGTATTTAAGTGTTGGCATGTCAAGAAATTGCAAGCATTTTGTAGCCATAAAGGGTAAAGGACAAAGCTCTCGGCGTTGATGAATCTTTGAGCGATGCGCGATGCATTCGTCTTCATTAAGTATCGTTGGAGGTGATTTAATGCATATTTGGCCTTTGTAATGACTCGCGGTGGCTTGCCAATGTATCGAGCCAGTGCTACTATCTTCTCAGACGAGTCTGGTACCAATTTTCCCACCCCGGAGGCATGGAGGTCTTGGTGGGTCATGAGTGTGGGGATCGATTCCAGGCATGTGCGCAGTCGCGCCTCCAACCACTGCGCCACGCGCACTTTTCTAACCGAATGCAAGGTTGATCCTAAGCCAGTGGCGATGACACGTACTACGGTAGAATTAAGACAATGCTTTGGAAGGCAAGCATAAATGCCTTTTTCTCAGCTAGTTTTATCGCTCTCTGCTTTTAGCAATCACCCGTCAGCGGGATTGATCTGGGGAGCCCAAATCAACGAACCCAGTTAAGCTGAGGCTGTTGTTATAATCACAATTTTAACTTATTATTTACTGCCTACTCTTTTTAATGGCAGGGCATATATTGCGAAATATAACTTCAATGATCAGCTAGTTCTATCTGAGAGACAGGCTGAACGAAGGACCCGTATGGTGTGGTGGTGAACGCATTACTCCCCGGAAAGGACAATAGCGCGTTCGTTCGCCACCGCAAACAACTGCGGGCCGTAATTTTGCAAATATCTCAGCATCGTTGAAGTCATAAATGGCTTTAATGTTAAACATTATTAGCATGGGAAATGTGTGGTAATATGGAGAAATAGTGCCAGTTTGAGTGAATAGTTACTAGAACATGAAATACCAGTACTCTACATATAGAAATTTACAAAAAAAGAACATTTTTTGGGATGAGTTCGTTTTCTCGACGATAGACTGTTGCCGTTGAAGAAATTACCCATCACAGAGACCCTAGCAACTAATGTGGACGCAGAAATGCCTTTTTTGTACTGGAATGTTAAAGCTCGACATTTAGGAACAGCTTTTCGCTATGATGAGGTGGTAAACTATAGATAAAACTTTTTCGCAGTGGGTCAGATTCATAGAATAAGCGTCCATCAATGGGTTTCATCGCAGTTTTCATTTAAGAAGGGTTATCAAGACGTGCTAACTCAATGTTCTACCGATATTTTAAACGTTTTGTTGGAGCATTTTTGATTTATAATAAAAAATTTGCTGTTTGGGAGTGTAGAAAATCTACTAGTTCTGCCTGGAATTGATGAACTTTATATGCAACTTGCAGATCCTACCTATAATCTACAATTTTCGCATAGAAATTTTATTTCTTGCATAAGTGCTGGTTCCTGGGTACAGGTCAGCTGTGTACAGTAGAGGGTTCCGTATACCCGGCAAGGTCTACCAAGCTGTGAAGGAGTCCGACATGTCTATCAGGAAGCCTAGGTAGGAGTAAACCAGTACTAGGACCCACCACCGTCCTGCTATGAAACTAGACGCATGGTTGCAAATCTCCCTCTGATCAACAAAGGTCGGCGACTGTTGTGGTGGTTTAGACTGAGAGCAGACTTTAGCCAGGCTGACCTCGGGATTCCAGGGAACAGCAACGGCTAGATCAGCAAAACTCAAAAAAAAAACGAAAATTATGTTGGGTTAGGCATAACCAGTGAGGACTGGCCGACGAAATATTCAAGTAAGCAAGTGATGCTGCCCCCATCTAACACTCGAACGTTTCACTGAAAAGGTACATTTTGTGGTCTGCATTGAAATGCTCTAACTAGCAAAGCTTCCTATAATGCTTGCATCTAGTTCTAACATACTTAGCATGTCTTGCAACGTAGTCGCAGTGCTAATGTTATGATGCTGCCTTATAACGTTTCACACGTGTTCTCCCTTTTCTTGGATCACCATTGGTATCGCTTTCTTCAAGAAACTAGGAAACTAACCGTGTGGAAACAATTCCATTTCCAGCGTAACACAAGTAGACCACCATTTCGAAGTCATCCACCGAGCTCTCCCAAACGTGTTCACTATAAATCTTCAGTGACTCTCTGTCCACGACGAACTTTTCCTGATTTCAGCTTCCAATCATCTATAGTATCAATGAGTTGGAAAAGGTATCTTGTTAAAAACTGTGCACATCGTAGTAGTGTTCATCTTATCTTTCCACTTCAACACCGTTATACCACTCCGGTGCCGTTGTGTTGTTCGTTGTCCTCTTCTTATCTTGAGACCGACGACTTTCTAAGGTTGTCTTTTTCTATGCTTCTTACAGAGGTAAGTTCTCTACAATTTCTCGATCCTGGAGAAATGGTATAGAAATTCTTCCCTTAGTTTGACATATGATATACAAGTTTAGTTTACTCCTGCGGACTACGCGAGATCTCCAGTTATGGAGAGATCGGTACTGGCATACAACGAAGTTCGCCACCTTTTGAACATAATTTGGATAACTTGAGGCCTATCGTCTTGGTCTTTCTGGGATATACTGTCGAAAGGCGAATCTACCTCTAAGCAACTTTCGGAATTCTCTAATAAACATGAATTTTCTGAGTATGTATGTTGTGAGACAATTATTATTGATAGGTTCAATTGTTGTTCTAATCTTACACCACCTTTGTCCTCGGTTGCACATTACATTAATAGTAGAATGGTGCTTAGCTGGTAACCTTTGAAATCCGTCTCTTCTCATAGTGTGGAATGCAGTAGAATGACTTGTAAGAGCAGGACCAGTGTTTCAGCAATTCATAAAAGGATAAAGGGAAAGCTATCGGCCTTGATCAATCCCATTGGGATGCGCCATGCATTCGACTTCATTAAGCATCGCTTCGAGTGATTGAATTCATGTCTGGCCTTTACAAGGACTCGCGCTGGCCTACCGATGTTTAGTTCCGTCCACCGAAGCGAAGATTGTCGATCGACACAACGTTGACTGGAATAGAAAATTCAGTGGTTGTGATACAATGCATTCGCTTAGCACTTCATCATGAATCATTCTCTTTGTCTGTCTCATTTTCTTCAGACGCTTCAACGAAAATCATAAGAGGTTTCAGTTATATTTCGTCATCGAATCAAATGTGGGAAATATTGTTATAGCGTGGGCCAACGAGGTTTCTTAAAAGTTCGTTTTTATGTACAAGTGTTTTTCCTTCTGTAAATCATTTGGAGTATTAAATTATGTACTGGAAGGTAGTTCGCTTGATTTTGATTAGCCCTTCATTAATCATAGGCGCGTGTGGCGCAGTGGTCGAAGGCGCCCTGCAATACACATGTGATCGATTTCCACGCCCTTGGCGCTTTCCATTCCTCCGGGGCTGGCAAATGAGTATTCATACTTGTTTAGGAGGATAACAGCACTGATTCGATACATCGGCAGGCCATCGTGAGTCATTGTAAAGGCCAGAAATCCATCGAATCACCTCTAATCGATGTTTAGTTAAGTCGAATGCACATGACACATCCTTAAGGGATTGGTCAACAACGAGAACTTTATCCTTTTTATTCTTTATCGTTGAATTGCTTTGCACTCTGTGTTTTTAGGCAAACGCGTCCGGTTTCATTAAACAACTTCCTGATGGCTATAACACTCGAGTTGGTGATCGTGGAATTCAGCTAAGTGGCGGACAAAAGCAACGGATTGGTAAGTTAATGATTTAATCGGTAAATTAAGCTACGAAGCAATTTATCGAATACTTTAGGTTTTAAGTCTTCCTCGTTTGAATCATGGCTCTAATATCCATCCTGAAATTTCGGCAACATTTGCTCATCAATTTTTTTGAGAAGCTACTAAAACAGTAGGGCGTGTGTAGCGCTGTAGTCGAGGGCGCCCTGCAACACACGAGGAATCGATCCCCGCGCCCGTGGCCCACCAAGCCTTCCATCCCTCCGGGTCGGCAAATTGGTACCAGACTTGTCTGAGAGGATAGTAGCACTGGCTCGATGCATTAGTAGGCCACCGCGAGTAATTGTAAAGGCAAGATGTGCATTCAATCACCTCCAAACGATGCTTAATGAAGTCGAATGCATGGAGCATCCCTCAGGGATTGGTCAACGCTAGGAGCTTTATCCTTTATCCTTCTAAAAAATAGTCTTATTCTCTAGCTATTGCACGAGCGATTGTAAAAAATCCACGTATTCTTCTACTGGATGAAGCTACGAGCGCATTAGACTCAGAGTCGGAGTCGATGGTTCAAGAGGCACTCGAGAGGGTATGTTTCACATGTGCAGCATCTGTCTTTGCAAATTTAACGTTCTCGGCTAGCTCTTTCAGCGCCATTTGTATTTTAACCAAAATTAGATTTTGTAGCGTTGACTTTCGTCAATAAATATATTTCTCTTAAAAGAAACTCCCACGCGTCATGCTTAGTAATTTTGACATTGAGCGGATGCTTTGAAGATATCTTTTCGTTGCAGACTAGATCGAGATTTTCATTTTTAACCTAAAATTTTCTATCCGACAGGCTCAACTGGGCCGAACAACCATTGTCGTCGCGCATCGCCTGTCAACAATCAGAAATGTGGACCAGATTTTTGTTTTCAAGGTGAGCAAGTGACTATCGCCTTTAATGAGAATGTGTCCCACAGGATGCAGAAATCGCTTGGTTTTTGGTGATAGCGTAATATTGTTGTACTTCAACCCCTGCGGCAATTTTTTTGCTTCCTTCAAAGCTTCGTGCGGAGACTTCGAGTGCTTTTCCTAATTATTCTCTTCTTGGAAAACTGAAAGAAGAAAAAACTGGGAGAGGGGATTATTTATATATTATTTACTTAAGTAATTAAGTGAACTGTGTTCTAGAAAATCACGAAGAATCATGAGCGCGGCATCACCGTTTCATCTGACTGGTCATTTGCTAATTAGAGAAGATTTTTTTCTCTTGAGTCTCGAAAGCCGTCCATGAGATTTCTAATACCACCGACCATTTCTGAGAAATGACCTTGTTGTATGCAGGGTGGCGGGTCCTGGCACTGACTTACTGTTATTCCACCTTCAGAATAGGAGTCTCGAGCTCTTTCATAGCTTTTAAAGTCCTTCTGAAGATGCGAGCTCTCTGTTCGTCGCACTTCGACATCCAAAACCGTACTCCACACCGCCACGATGAGGCAGTAAACCACGATTCCTTCTTTTTATTATTTATTTTACATGACCCGCCATCACATCTACTGTGTGAATCTGCGAGAATTTCTTGCATTCGATTCGTTTTCCTTGCATTCATCGTCCACAGTGGTCTTCGAACATTTCGCCTATGGTTTCGACTGCTGTTTGATGATTTCTTCTTCTTAATGGATGTCGTAGAATGCTTGTCGAGTTAATTCTCCTTGCAATCTTTGAGGTAGCCAGGCTAAAGTGTTCTCGCGTGAATTCGAGGAGAGCGTTGAAGAGGAGGTTGAAGTAACGCCTTTGCTTCCTTCTCGAAGGCATCACAATACACTGTGCCCCCTCCATCCCTTTCTTTGCTTTATACGTAAAAATGGGAAAACTGAATTATCACAGCTCTAAGATTTTTAGAATGGAGAAATTATCGAGCAAGGAACACATGATGAGTTGACGCGCAAAGAAGGCGTATTTTATGAAATGATCCAAGCACAAGTGCTGCGCCAAGAGAAGGAAGAAGACGATCGTGGTAAGGATCACTAGATCTTTATGGTATGTAGCTGGATAACATTTGAGTTCCGTTCGTAAATATGGTCCTATTCAGATATTCAGCTTTTCAAAGGTTTTTTGAAGCTCGCAAGAACTGGAACACATCTAGTGGTGCACAAGTTTTCTAAATTATAAGTGTACAGCATTCCTCAAAGGCGTATAGAAGTGGTGTTCATGTTCATGTGCCGTTCATCGCGAAGACGGTGAAACTTCTACCCCAACGTGCTTACTAATTCTCCTATTACTCTGGGGTCAGGGAAGTGGTAGCAGAGTTTTCTTTGGTCACCTCACACCCTCCATTGCAAATAGGAACGCTGTAGTGTACTTATTCCGGAACTCCAAGGAATGTCGAATCGGTGCACATTCAACTAAATTGATGAAGGAAGGAAAGTGCTCAAGTGGGAGCCGATTCCGCATGCAAAAACTCGAGGACCTTGGCGGATGATGGATGCGACGAAATGAATCAGTTCCACGAAGTGCTGTGATCCGCACTGTAGAGGAATACAATGTGAAAGCTGGGTCATGAAACAATTCCTTATTTGGATACTTGGATGGCCTCTCCTAATCGGTTGTGCGGACCTCTATATAGTCTCTATTTTATTGGAGTTTTGCTAGCTTAGCCACTATGGTTCCCTGGAGTTTCGAGGTCAGCCAGGCCAAAGCCTGTCCCAGGTCGTTACGACCACAGACAGCTGCCGCGCTTGTGGATCAGAGGGGGATTTGCCGCTAGGCGACTAGTTTGATACCAGGACGGTGGTGGATCATGGTACTCGTTTACTCTTGGCCGGGCTTCTTGATGGAAAGCCGGGCTCCTCAGTCTGGAGGGCTCTGCTTTGGTGACAAATCACCTCTTTGTACATTGCAACCTGACACCCAGGAACACCTTTCAGCCACGATGAGGCGGTAAGCGGTTGAGAGACATGCGAAATAAATAGAGAAAATATGCGCTACTTTAGATTTTGAGTGCAACATGTTGACAACGTCACCACTTTCCTTAAATTTTCAAAAACATGGACGTTCGATGACGTCAAAGAACGTAAATAAAATATGCTTCGTGTCGCTGTTATTCATATTGGGCATTTCTACACATCCGTTTCGTTCTTCTTTAGGTGGCGATAGCATTTATACTAAATCTGTAAACTATCTTCAAATATTCTGTCATGAGGCGACAAAGGCTACTCTGTGCATATCAAAATTTGCAAAGAGCAGCTTTTGTGACGACTTTGCCTAAATGGTCCTTCCCACTATTTCATCGTGGTCTTTCCTTGCCTCGTGGTGCACCAGTCTCGGACCAACTTCGTCACATTTTCATGCAAGAATCTCAATAATTTGCCATGTTTCGCTAGATATTTTTTTACATCATTCACAAATCGTTGAGTTCACTTGGGGTCCAGTGCTTAGGGCTACTCAGCACAGCACCAGGTTGTCAATTCTGTTCTGTGTCCTGAGCAGCAAGTAAATCCTTTCACCTCACTGGGATCTTCATAAGAGCTCAAAGCTTCCGGCGTTGATCAATCTCTGAGGGATGCGCCATGTATTCGCCTTCATTAAGCACCGTTTGGAGGTGATTGGATGCTTATCTGGCATTTAGAATAACTCGCGGTGGCCTACCGATGTATCGAACCAGTGCTGCTATCCTCCTAGACAAGTTTGGTGACAATTTGCCAACCCCGAAGGGATGGAAGGCTTGGTGGGCCATGGCCGTGGGATCGATTCCACATGTGTGTTGCAGGGCGCCTCAGACCACTGCGCCACATGCTCCCTAGGGATCGTCACATTGGTGTCATACTCATCCGTGAGCATAAAAACATTGACATGATACATTGGTAGGCCACCATAGATCAATGCATTCGATTCCTTGATTCTATGAATGGAATCGAATTCGTAACGTTAGTTGTCGCTAAATGCTTTTACCATTTCGTCTGGTTAAAAGGTGGCATTTTTAAGAATTCTATTTGGTAATTTCTGCCAAATGTTATGAGATTATGACATGCAAAAACTCTGAAATTCCAGTAATAGACGGCATTTGTGGGTTGAATAAGAAAAAAATTGTTACAGTTTTACACGTCCACCACATTACTCTCCAAACAACTGCTACCGTACGAAATCACAATGTGATTCCAACTACAGCCTCGGCTTAACTCTGTCCAATGACGATTTGGGCTCCCAGATCAATCCCGTTGAAAAGTGATTGCTGATGGAACTGGTCGATGGAACTATCTGGGAGATAGGCGAAACGAAGTACCCGCATGGTGTGGTGGTGAACGCGTTACTACCTGGAAAGGGACAATAGCGCGCTCCTTCCCCACCGCAGACACCTGCGGTGTGGAGTTTTGCAGATATCACAGCATCATTGTGGTTCTCACAGTATGGTTTAAGATTTCATTTAAAACAGCGTTACCTAAAATTATCGCAAAGTTGGAAAATACATTGGCACATTGGTTACACTGATCTACTACTTAAGGAATCAACTTTAGGAAGTGATGGCTCGGACGAGTTCTCACCGAACAGTCGTCACGATTCATCGAAAGTCTCCGAGAAGAGTGCGAACTCTTTTACCAGTAGTATTCGGAAGATGGAAATCGATGAGGAGGTATGATTGGGTTGAGGCGAAACGAACACCTAGAGTTTGTTTCCACTTGGAGTACGGCTTTATCCTTTCCGTTGCAGGAAATCCAAACTGAACCAACGCCAATATCTAAAGTGTTCTACTTTAATAGAGACGGATGGGGTTACTGTATTCTGGGGCTTTTTGGCTGCATTGTCTTCGGTGCCATGACACCGTTGTTTGCTCTATTATATGCGCAAATAATAGAGGTTTCAAACATTTATTGATTAAAATAAACTTTATTTTTTTCTGTTTGTCGTACAGTCGTACAGAAAGTCATGTTACGAACTACTATGGAAGCCTACCTATTCTTTAGGTGTACTCAAGACCAGTAAATCAGATGAGAGCTGAAGTGATGTTTTGGTGCGGTGCTTTTGTAGTCATCGGTCTGCTCCATGCGACAGGTTTTTTCATATCGGTGACGTTTTATTTATTCTTCAGCTTTTCAAATGTTTGTATCATAAAGGATAAAGGATAGCACCAGGTTGTCAATTCTATTCTGTGTCCTGAGCAGGTAAATCCTTTCCACCCCACTGGGATCGTCATAAGAGCTCAAAGCTTCCGGCATTGATCAATCCCTGAGGGATGTGCCATGCATTCGCCTTCATTAAGCATCGTTTGGAGGTGATTGGATGCTTATCTAGCATTTAGAATAACTCGCGATGGCCTACCGATGTATCAAGCCAGTGCTACTATCCTCCCAGACAAGTCTGGCACCAATTTGCCCACCTCGGAGGGATGGAAGGCTTGGTGGACTATGGGCGTGGGGATCGAGTCCACGTGTGTGTCGCAGTGGCGCCTCCAACCACTGCACCACACGCACCAGCTTTCGGTACCGAATGATTATTAGCTCCAAGTAGAATGCTCGACTTTATACGAATTTAGTACGTGGGATTTTTTCACTTTGCTACAGAGCACAATCGCAAGCTGAGGTTATAATCGTTTACAAAAATACCAACGGTAAAATATTAACAATATGTTGGCATACAGAAGGGTGAAGGATGAGAGCGCTCGTAGCGAGAAGGAGCCCTGGTAGGGAGAACTGATGCAGAGAATGTGGAGAAGACTGCAGAAGATCAAGACCAAGACTTAGACTCATTGAGGAAGCTGCTTGTATACGTACTATGAAAGGCGGAGTCTAACTAGAGTAGTTAAGGAAATAGTTTTGAAGAGAAGTGAGACAATTTTGCTCTTTGGACACGATTGAGCAGTGCAAGACAAGTGCACTCCCGGGTGAGGGGATGACAAATCAATACCTTCATTTTTGGTTAAGAAGATCACAATTGCAAGAAAAGTGTACATCCGTTTAAGAAGATGGCTAAGTAGTACAAGGATGGATGTAGTTACCAGAAAATATAGTTACTATAGGAAACATACAATAATATAGAGAATAGGAACTATTCCGGAAAAAGTTACTATACCATTGATGGTTACTGGATGATGATAGAGCTGATCCTCTGTAGAATTCTGAGAGAGCCTTCGTGGTAGGTAGAGCGTGGTAGAGCGCTCCTAGATCTTCACCACAGGCAATCTTAGGGTTTTGTTCACGGAGATCTCTTACTGGACACATGCAGAAAAAACGTTAGTTCAAATATGACCAAAGTCTTGGGTCCGCTAAATGCTTCGATGCTGTCGTTAGGACTGTGAGGTCATGCAGTACTGGAAACTGCTGTTGGGAGACGAGCCTTTTGATGCGAATGGTACAAAAATCAGCTTTGGCAACTGGCTGCTCTCTCCGAACATAGAGACGTTAGAGAAGAAAGCGTCTAATGTCCTGCGCGCAGCCAAGATTTCTTGCCATCTGAATTAGATCAGTTCGAAACTCTGCAAATTCCCTCGGCAGGAAGCGTTTCTCCAGTTTAAGCTATGTCAAATTGGTCTCTAAGGAGTTCGTAGACTTGTCACCGTTCTGTGGAGAAGGCAATCGGTGTGTTAGAGTTGGACCCAAGCGATCAGTCACTTAGGCGGACATTTCGAAGAATGAATTTAGTTTTTTTTGAAATAAATTTAAAAACGGAACAATGTTAAAGAACTAAATTTAGTTTCCGCTTTCTTAATCTTATAAAATAAGTAGGAACTATATAGTTTCACTCACATAAAATTATAAATAAAAGTTTGTAGCGCAGTGCTTAGAGAGGCTTTGTAATAAACGCAGGATCTTCGGTTCATTTCCACATAACATGGGCTAACAAAGTCACCTATCTTTCCAGCGTGCACATATTGGCATCTGACTTTTTTTTTTTTTACATAATCCGCCTTCAAATCTGTTGCTGGGATTCCATCACTTTCTGCCTTCGATTCCTTTCCTCACATCCGTTATAAACGAAGGTCTTCGAACTTTTGGTTTTTCGTTTGGACGTTGCTTGAGGATTTCTCGTTTTCTTTATGAGTGTGCCTGAATATTGGTCGAGTCAATTTTTTCTGTTGTTTGAAATAATTGTGCTAGAGGGTTCTTATACCTTGTCAATCGTAGGAAGCTTTCCAAACGAGTCTAGCAGCAATTTCTCGACTTCGAAGAGACCTGGTGAGCTGTGGGCGCAGGATCGAACGAAAAGTTATATGTGCACTGTAGCGCAGCTCCAATTACTGCCCTGCGCATGTCTTTCTATATATATATATATATATATATATATATATATATATATATATATATATATATACTTGGTATTCTTCTAATTAATTTCACTTACCTCTCATAGGTTTACCGCCTCATTGTGGCTGGGAGGTGCTCCTGGGTGTCGGGTTGCGATGTACAAAGAGGAGATTTTTCTTCACAAAGAGCCTTCTAGGATGAGGAGCCCGGCTTTCCATCAAGAAGCCAACCCAGAGTAAACCAATACTATGATCCGCTACCGTCTTAGTATCAAACTAGTCGCATGGTGGCAAATCTCCCTCTGATCCACAAGGACGGCGACTTCCTGTGGTGGTGACGTCCTGGGACAGACTAGGTTCACTTCGTGACTCCAGAGAACCACAATGGCGAAACCAGCAAAATTCCGAAAAAGTGGAAATCATGCTGGGGCCCGCACAACCAGTGAAAAAGGCTCATACACGTATCTAAGTAATGTCACTTAAGTTTTAGGCAAATGCCTTGGGACGCTGTGGAGAGTTGTTGACGAAAAAATTGCGCTTGGAAGCTTTTCGCAACGTTCTTCGACAAGATATTGGCTTCTTCGATGACATACGACACGGCACAGGAAAATTATGCACCCGTTTTGCTACGGATGCTCCGAATGTGCGATACGTAAGCAGTTTTTTTTCTTGTAAGCTCAACATAATCTGTTCTGTAACAATGCCATGAAACTCGGGCTATCTATCTAGAAGTTTTTTGTCCCATATCTGGACTCAGTTTGAAAATAATTCTCGGGTCTGTTTAATTGTTAGGTTATTTTTCTATTTGGGGTACTTGAGATTGCTTGAATTCTCGACTTAGAGAACTATTGAGAACATCCGAAGCATAGCCAGTGTCAATACTAGCATAAGCCATCACTACATATCTTCTAAGATTGATATCAGCTGTGTTATACCTCATGAATTACAGGTGTTCACTCGTCTTCCGTCAGTGATCTCATCTGTGGTCACCATAATTGGTGCGCTGAGTATTGGCTTCATCTTTGGATGGCAACTGGCATTGGTCCTCACCATTGTCGTTCCTCTTATCATTGGAAGCGGCTACTTTGAAATGCAGATGCAGGTCGTGTATCTATCGAAAACAAGACTTTACCGTTCTGATATGCATAATTCAAATCTTCTTATTAAGCTGCAACTAACACCACCCTAAAAATGAAGACAAATAAACACAACCTTGTAGACTCTGCGTTTGGTCACGGAATTTGGGCTGTATAAGCAATACTTGCTTAATAGTTGTATTTTGAGGACTTTGTGTTAAACCACAGGTGGTCTGCATTGTCTGCTGCTACGACACTGAAAATATGCATGGATTTCAATGCATGGTCGGCAGTAATTAGTGTTTAGAGTTCAAGAAAGCACATCTCAGAGCATTTCGGGATTTGTTGATTTAAATGAAAGGAATTTGGATCTACGTAGCTTTACCAACAATGTATATTTTAGTTCTTTAGCCACGATGAAACTATGATTTTCTAAGGCCCAATAAATAGCTTTTTTTCTTTCATTTCTTGTCGTTGAGGCTTCTTGTCTCACTGTGTTTGTAGTTCTTCCACCTAACTTTTTGTTGTGACAACTTTCAGTTAAATTTTTTACCTTGGCTAGCAAGATTAAGATAAAATAGTGCTACCCATTTTGATTCTCTTCACCGTAATCGTCCATCACTCCAATAAGCGCCAGCATAGAACCTATTTTTATAGAAAAAAACGGGTGATTACTGATGACACTGTTAGGATAAGAGACTCGCTCAGGGAGAGGTTAAGAGGGGTCTCGGTGATATAGAGGGTAGCACGTACGGCACTGGAATGGGTAATCTAGCCTATGATCCGAGTTTTACAAATATCTCAGCAGTGCTGTGGTTGTATAGCACACATAAACAAAGAGTTAGACGCTGTGCTTCAATTTATGCTCGTCGCCTATCCACAGTGCTCTATTGAGCTCCACATGCTTCTCGCTCCCTTTTGTTCAGCTCGGAGCCTAAATCGTTGAATATGATCACTGCTCTGATAAAAAACACGTGATTACAGTGCTAACTTTTTATTTGCTGCTTGGTACAACTTTCTACGGAAGGATATGATGCGAAATACAACCACAATTATGCTGAGATATTTGCAAAACACCGGATTGCAGGTGTCCGCAGTGGAGAACGAGCGCACTGTTGCCCTTAACTGCGGCTAACGCGTTCACCACCACACCATGCATGTCCTTTGTTTCGTCTGTCTCTGAACTAGTTCTGTCGATCAGTGCCGTCAGCAATCACCCGTCAACGGGATTGTTCTGGGAAGCCCAAATAAGCCTTGAACCCGGTTAAGCTGATGCTGTAGTTGAAATCACAATCCCGTTGACGGGTGATTGCTGATGGCAGTGATAGATAGAAATGGCTGAGAGGCAGGCGAAACAAGGACCCACATTGTATGGTTGTGAACGCATTAACCCATGTAAAGGGTAATAACGCGTTCGTTCCCCACCGCAAACACCTGCGGTCCGGAGTTTTGCAATCATTTTAGCATCATTGTGGTTGTATTTCGGATGATTACAGTATTTGAAGATATTTGTTGAACGTAAATACCACGTGAGAAGAACATTCGCTTCCGTTTATTTTTCATTTTTTTCCAAGGTGTAAGTTGGTGGTGTTTTTCAAGTTAGCGAAAACGAGAGTGAAACCGTTCCTTACGCTTTCATGTTATTACATTATTTTGTTATTGTCATTACGCTTCGAGGTGAATTCTGTGCGGTTGGTCTTCACACGACATACTCAGTGGAAGACTCATAGAAAGCGGCTCTAAGGAAGGCGAAATCCGCCGAAACGTCAGCTTTTACGTGAGTGGGGAAGTGGAATAGCACCTCGTATTTGCTAAGCAGAAGTGGAAAGAATTGTTCAATCAATGCCGAGGTTAATAGAAAGTCGGACGTTGGAGTTGCCTTCATGTTACTTCACTGAGTTGCGTCACCGTATGGATATCATCCGTTCCGATGAACGGTTCTTGAAAACCTTTTTTTACCGATTTGTTTACTTGGTTTCGAATATGTTAATGTAATGTGCACGTTGGTTCAAAAAAGCACGATGGTTCTTTTTATCACAGCTGCAACCTGTTTTCAGTATGGTAAGAAGAAGCGTAACATTAAGCTGTTGGAAGAAGCTGGCAAGGTAGCGTCGCAGGCTGTTGAACACATCAGAACAGTTCAAGCTTTGAATAGACAAGAGAAGTTCCATTCTATGTACTGCGAATACCTCAAGGATCCGCATCGGTGAGTTTAATTGACATTTTGGATTGATTGTTTAGTTCTTCATACTATTACTGTTCATACTGTTCGGCAAACACGAGGTTTTACTTTATTCTTTGCTACAATAAAGCAGCGCATGTGGCGCAATGGTCGGTCGGAGGCGCCCCGCAACGCACACGTGGAATCGGTCCCGCACCCATGGCCCACAAAGTCTTCCATCCCTCCGCGATCGGAAAATTGGTACCAGACTTGTCTGCGATGACAGGAGTACTGGCCCGATACATCGGTAGACCACTGTGAGACATTGTAAAGGGCAGATGTGCATTGAGTCACCTCCAAACGATGCTTAATGGAGCTGAATGCATGGCGCATCCCTCAGGGATTGATGAAGGCCGAAAGCTTTGTCCTTTTATGTTTTATTACAATGAAGCTGGCGTTTCTACGGATTTCGCCTTCCGATTTTGGTTGTTTAATATAACACAGGGTTCATAGTCACTTGAGTTCTTACTTTATTGGCCGGAATAATCCTGAATCTGAACAATTGGTCGGAGGGGATTAAAATTAACTCATTTTCTTTCTGGCCATTTATTTTGCCGCTCCAGAATCTTTTACTGCACTTTTTGTACATCATCGATAGATTAAACTCAAACCAATTGTGGTGTAGTTGGGTGGTGGGTTCGGGAATTGAATAACCAGGTACTGAAAACAGGGATTAATTGAACGCATGTTTTTGTGTCTGAGCGGCAACACTTCACCATCTTGGCGTTTTTCACTTTAGAATTCTCATTGAGGTGTCGAGTTATACGGTAGAAATATAGTGTCGGACCCGGATGGAAAAGTTAGAGTTATCCCCAAGTGCAACTGACTTGGATTTTATATGTTAGTAGTGATTTCCTACTTTCCTACTGGCTCGTTCGTGTTACTGCGTCGGCTAATTAAGAATTCTGAAGAATGTGTCCGCTATCATTGAAGGTCCACTGTGTATTCAAGACGTTTCGTAAGCTCAAACCGTCACAGAACAAAGTTGTTAGTTGAGCCCCCGACATTAGGTGCAGCATATATCATGAACTTAAGTAGTTATACTTCTTGTATATAAACATATAAACGAAGAGCAAATAGCGGAATTAACAAGGACGGATCATCTAAAAAGTAACCCCCAACAAAGATGAAAAACAAGATAGTTTTGGTAAGCTTACTTAAGGTTAAGTGAGATGGGAAGCGAAAGCATTCAGTATAAATACACCCGAAATAAGAAAATCTAAAAGGAGTAGCGTAGGAGTGCATAACTCGACGTGAATGCGATACATGAACTGTTGTCTTGGATGGAACATCTGTCTCTTACTTTAGGATGGGAAGTTCTAGAAGGCTTGGAGGTCGATATAACAAGTGCTCAACAAGTTTTACAGGTGGATATAAACTTATAGAAAGTAACAAAGGGCTCATTACCAGCCAATGGGAACTGTTTTATTGCGCTGATGAAAGTGAATCAAAAAACTCGGTGCCCGACAAAAACCAGGCCTCGTCACCAATGTGTTGTATGATTGTTTTGTAGTGAAGGAATATTTCATTCAAGTGGTTAAAATTCGAAGTACGTTAAGGTAGAGGAGATCATACGGTGTACATACCGAAATGTTATCGCCATTCTTAAATATAGTATACGCGGCGTGTAACGCAGTGATTACAGGTGTTCTACAACACTCACGCAATCATTGGTTCAATCCCACGTCCTGTGCTAACCTAGTCTTCCATCAATCCGGGGCCGAGAAATTGATGCTAGATCTGTCTGGGTGGGTGGGAGTATAACTGTCGTTGATCTATATATCGACAGGGCACTATAACTCATTGCACAGACTAGATATGGATTCAATCAAGTCTACAATGTTTGATGAAGTGGAATGCATGGCGCATCCCTCAGGGATTGATCAACGTCAAGAGCTTTATCCTTTAACCTTTATTTACCAAATACTGTGGGTTGTGTGACTGTAATGCTCCGTATTCTCAGAATGTACTGTAGTGTTCGTCTGCTTCAATGAGGTGTACTACGAAATAGTCATATTTAAGCAATTCACATAGAATGGAATTATGCATTACTATTTTTAGAGAGAACATGCGCCAAGTACATATTTATGCGGCTGTGTTTGCTTTCTCACAATCATTGATATTCTTCATGTACGCATTAGCGTTTTGGATTGGAACTATCTTTGTGGACAGTAAACAGATGTACCCAGCTGACGTATATCGGTAGGTATCTATTATCTCTTAAATTATCTCTAATCTTAGCTCCTTTCCTTCGTTGATTTCTGATTTTCGGGCAACTTTTTCTATGTGAAACTTTGTGATGTAATAATTAATAGAAGGCCAAATAATATTCTAAAACATTGCAATATTCTTTTTGAATTTACGCGCTATATTGAACGCGCGTGTGGCTCAGTGGTTGGAGGCACCACTGTTGCACACGTGGAATCGATCCCGGCGCCCATGGCCCACCAAGCTTTCCATCCCTCTGGGGTCGGAAAATTGGTACCAGACTTGTGGGGAGGATAGCAGCACTGGCTCGATACATCGGTAAGCCACCGCGAGTCATTGTAAAGGCCAGATATGCAATCAGTCACCTCTAGCGATACTTAATGAAGGCGAATGCATGCCGTATCCCACAGAAATTGATCAACGCCTAGAGCTTTATCCTTTAGACTTTATATTAAACCAGACTAGACTTTGTTCTTAGCTGTAGGGCTAAAGGGTGGGTAACGAAATGGTAGTGAAAACGTTAATTACGTGGAATGACCAACCAACCCAGGAATTATTTCGCACTGTCCCGAGCCCAAGAGGCCTATCAGCTGTACGAAGTCGAGAGATTTGTGCCATATTCATCTAGAACAAGAACAGAAATCCTTAAGCAGCAATGGAACTCACACACAAAGGGTTCAAAGGCTATGGGTAGTGGTTGCGAGGAAACGAATCGAGTCCAAGAAGTTCTGGGATCCGCCACTGCCATACATTTGGGTAACGGATCATGTAAGGAATATAATTTATGCACTCATTAATGGAATGAGTGTCATTTAACTTGTCAATATGGCGTCAGCTATTCCTCAACGTTTCGCCGTCGCTGTTCAGCGAATGCTAACTCAATTTCTTCAAATTTCTATGGCCGTGAACGCGCTCTCGTTTCGAAACAGGAACGATGAATGTTCGAAAGTGGTCCGCTGAGCGTCTCTACTTTTTAGGGTTTTCTTTGCGTTCATGTTCTGTGGACAAGTGGTTGGTCATATTTCGTCATTTATTCCTGACGTCGTCAAAGCTCGATTAGCTGCTTCATTGATATTTTACCTTATCGAATACCCCACTAAAATCGATTCGTTGTCAGAAGAAGGCATCGTAAAGGTGAGTACCTCGAAAGTGACTTTTTGTTTTTTTTCATCTGACTTCCACTGTTAAGAAGCCTTGTATGATTTCTTATAGGTAGGTTAACTGTCAGCATGAGATTTTCAGAAGATTTCTGGTCATGTGCTTCTTCGTAATGTGTTCTTCAATTATCCAACAAGAAAGCACACAAAAATTCTTCGAGCGCTTAATCTGGAGGTAACTTGCCACGAAATGTGCTGTGATTTTTTATTCATGAATTGATTGCTTCAATAATGGATCGCCACTTATTCTTTTTTAGAACATCAGTTACATTCATATTTTTTTTATTTTGCACGATCCGTCATCACATGTACTGTGCAGAGCCCAGCACTTCTTGCATTCGATCCGTTTCCTTGCATTCCCCGTACACAATGCTCACGTTTTCTTTCAGCTGCTGCTTGAGAATTTAGTCTTCCTTATAAATGTCGTCGAATGCTGATCGACTTAGTTCTTCCGGAAGTTTTAGAGATAGCTGGACTAAGGTGTTCCTACGTGGATTGGAGGGGAGCGTTGAGGCGAGAATCGAACTAGCGCCTTTGCTTCCTAATCGACGGCGTCACTAACCACAGCTCTATCCTTGTCACTACACTGGTAATAGAAAGAATGTATTACGATTTACGATAAAAGACGAAGCACGTGACTTTGATCAATCTTGAGTAGGTGCCGTGCTAGATTCATGATGAACTGTGGACGATTAGCGAAAATGCTTACCAGAAAAACAGATTAGCAGCGTCTTATCCGCTGTAAATGAGTCTTTATGATTTTCTACCGAAGTTTACATAGTTCGACGAAAAATCTAAGCAAATGAATGGATAGGCTCTGATGGTAATGACATGCGTGGGACGTGCTTTTTCCAAAGTTCTTCAGGTGAAATTCCGACGTACATTTGTCTTCCGGAAATGATTCGATGCTTTATCTTTTTCAAGATCCGACTTTCCTTTAGCCTTGGTACGACTAATCAAAATACGTTTGAAATGTTGAGCTTACACGAGGTTGATAGATAAGTTTTATTCGGCTAACGTTTCGATGTCTTCGTCTTCCTCAGAGCCAACAACTCGAGTCGATGTCCACCTTCTTCGTGTTCTCGATATGATATTTTCGTGGTCTTATAGAGCCAAATCGTCTTCAGTGGAACACTGTTCACATGAGGCAATCTCACCCGGCGACGCTCTTTTGTACTAGGACGATTGTCGTTGCTATGGTTATCCGGTGATAACGACTTATCTTTCTTAGTGGACAATTTATCCTGCAGAAGTCGGTATCATTACTAGCTAGCACAGAGCGTAGTAAGGGCTGAGCTTTGTGAGAGCTTTTTTTTTACAGAGCTTTATCTTTGTCCGGCCATCAGAACAACACTGTTAATTGTTGCAGGGAGCACATATTTTTGGAACAAAGGTACTTGAGGTACATCTTGATCTCTTGCCGGATCAAATTCCGCTTGTTCAATTGCTTTTCTGGGTCGAAATACAATCCTTGACGCAAAAAAGTAATGAAAAAAGTTTCACAGCTTCAGAAATTGAAGCCATTTTCTTGGTAGTATAAGAAGAATTATACCTTATACACAAAGTTCAGTAGATTTCAACAGTTCCAGTTCAATTAGTTAAGGTCAAAATGAAGTAAAATGTGTTGGCGGAGTGCTCTAGAAATGTTACTCCTAGTAGCGTAAGCTCTCAAAATATTTCTCATAGAATACTTTTTATCCAGCTTGGTCAGCATGAACTGGTGCCAGGTCATAGCTGATCGGCCTCTATCCTTCTCCTAGGCTTACATCTTCATCGCGAAGCCCTGACCATATGCAACATTGATGTAGCCGGCACTCTCTTCAGCGCTAAGTTAATGCTTGAATTGAAATGCGATTTATTGAAAATTGCTTTTTTCGGATGCAAAATGGAAACAGAGACATGAAAGCGCGTCTGCTCGACATGCATTGATTACAATGCGCTTGCTGCGAAAATAGTCACCGCCAATTCTGAACCGACATCGTCCACTTCATTTTCCACTGTATTAAGTGGAATTAAAGCATTGTAAAGCTAAGGACAAAGCTGTCGGCGTGATCAATCCTTGAGGGATGCGCCATACATTCGACTTCATTAAGTATCGTTGGAGGTGATTTAATGCATATCTGGCCTTTACAATGACTCGCGGGTGGCCTACCGATGTATCGAGCCAGTGCTGCTATCCTCTCAGACAAGTCTGGTACCAATTTGGCGACTCCGGAGAGATGGAAGGCTTGGTAGACCATTGGCGCGGGAGTCGATTCCACGTGTGTGTCGCAGTGGCGCGTCCAACCACTACCCCACACGCGCCCATTATGGTCTTCTCTAATAAAACATAATTGCTCTCATTCTAAGGAGATGTTCTAACGTTCTAGAGCCCACAAAACATATTGTGCTTATTTTTTCGTCAAGAGATGTGCTCAACGAGCAGGTTTTCGTCCAGCAAAATAGAATAATTTTCGCCAATGTGTGGGAAAAATTTTTTAAATTCAAATTTTCTTTCAGTTTGCTTGAGAATCCTATTTCTGATATTTAAAAATGGGGGAATATTTTGTAAAAAGTTATTTATGTGACTAAAATGGTAGAGCGAGGTTTCGCAAAGTTTTGAACTCTTCAAGTACTTTACGTATCGAAAAATAGCTGTCAGCTGTCGAAAAGCTAGTTTAGTGCGTTCCTTTAGGGATCAAAGTTTAAGAAAACAGGACCGCCAAGACATCTGTACCAATCTAACACTTATCATTAGATTGCTTTAAGATCATATTATTTAACTTGAAACGTCAAGAGCACTTTTAGTAATCAGGCACCATTTTGAGACAGGTTAATACTCATGTTTCAGGTGAAACCCGGGACTACTGTCGCCCTTGTCGGAAAATCTGGGTGTGGTAAAAGTACTGTAATGGCTCTTTTGGAACGATTCTATAATCCGAGAAAGGGTGTAATTGTAAGTGTTCTCAGTTATCACCACAAAAGTCATTCAGCTTATTGTTTCCATTCTGCAGTGTTGTTGAAGAATAGGTGATAAAAAGTTGATAATTCCTTATTATTACCTCCACTAAGCCATGGTGTTACAAAATGCCGAAGTCGATCGCTTTTTTGAGATGGAAAAAACAGTTTCCGATCGAACATTTCCATTCAATCGTTGCGATCAATATTCAATCAATATTCTCAAGATTGCAACAAATGAATCATGCGTTAAGATGGTCGACGGTGAGAATATAAGAAATTTCAACATTCGTTGTCTGCGTGAGCAAATTTGTATCGTCAGTCAAGAGCCGACATTATTCGATTGCACAATCCGGGAAAATATTTGCTATGGACTGGAATCTAAGCGACCGTCTTACGTTCAAATAGTACATGCGGCCAAGATGGCCAACATCCACAACTTTATCGTCAGTCTGCCAGAGGTATGAATTTGTTACAAAATTCACAGATACGATTATTTCAAAGAGCAGAGGAAACAACGGAACAGGTGAGAATAGTCCATTGCTTTCCCGTTCGTCGTCAATAAGTCGAAATTATACCGCAAAACGCTAAAGCACCATCTACGTTACTGCATACGCGCTCTAGTTGCTGTTACTGGTGACCCTACTCGTTTCAAATGTACCCATCTGGAATATGACTCTACGTTATTTGAAATAGAATCGAATACTCAATGCAGGCTGCGACACGCGCAACATAAGTTGGCTGTGCTTGTGGTCAAATCGCTAAAATGCGACAACACAGCGATTATTGATACAACCTTTACCCACGTAGCGCGTGTGGCGCAGTGGTTGGAGGCGCCACTGCGACACACACGTCGAATCGGTCTCCGCGCCCATTGCCCACCAAGCCTTCCATCCCTCCGTGGTGGGCAAATTGGTGCCAGACTTGTCTGGGAGGATAGCAGCACTCCCTTGATGCATCGGTAGGCCACCGCAAGTCGTTGTAAAGATCAGCTATGCATTCAATCACCTCCAACGATACTTAATGAGGTTGAATGCATGGCGCATCCCTCAGGGATCGATCAACGCAGAGAGACTTATCTTTTAGAGCTTTATTAACCACCAGTATTTATGTTCGTGTAAATGCTTAGGGAGCGGGTAGCATAGGGATAGCGGCACTGTTCATTAATTGGATGGCTCAACCTATTCAAGCGCTCGTTCGCCTCGGCTCTGGTCCCTTCAAACTTCTTATCCTTCCGTGTTTGGGGAAATAGTACAATAACTGCCTGGGAAAAGCCTATCTCCTGTATTTTAAGAGAAAAAGCCCAACACGGACATCTCAGGATTTTAGGTATATTCAACTAGACTTGTGCTCAGCGAGATTCGTGATTACGACAAAAATCTTCAAGCAGCAGTCACACCGAACACGCAAAAAGAGGTTCTAAGACCTTTATGTACAGTGGATGTGAGGATACCTATCTAATGCAAGGGAAGCTGGAATCCACACATTGCAATACATTTGATGAGCCTTCATGCAATAAAATTTAAAAAAAGGATGCTTTGGGCGCCTGTAGTGCAACGTTTAGAAGTGCTCGACAACACATGTTGGCTTGATTACGCATCGCCCGGCCCACGAAGCCTTCCAACCCTTTCATCGTTAGCAAACTAGTAGCTTATTGCTTTGGGAGGAAAGCAAAACTGAGATGATACATAAGTAACTCACTGCGAGTTATTGAATAGACCAGAAATATACTCAATCACCTCTAACGATGGCTGGCAAGGTTGGTTGGTAAATCCACGGCGCATTCCTCAGGTACTGATAAACGAGGAACATTTCACTCACCTTTTGTCTTTTATCCCTTTTTATTTTCACTTTTTTTATTGTTCTTATTACATTATGTTCGTTTTTCACCACTGTGTAGAGTAGAATGTGTTAACTTTAACACATTTGCTTGTTGTGATGGGAAATTTTGTCTTCAGGGTTATGACACTCGTGTTGGTGAGAAAGGCACACAGTTGTCGGGTGGCCAAAAACAACGAATCGCTATCGCTCGGGCTCTAATTCGAGATCCACCTGTTCTGCTACTAGATGAGGCGACCAGTGCGCTGGATGCAGAGAGTGAAAAGGTTACAGATATATGCTAATGCTGTATTAGTCGCTCACTGAAAAGAAAAAAAGCAGTGTGACACAATTTAGCTGCTCTGGGCTCTTAAGAAAAGCAATTAGTAACTTTTAGTGATATGAAAGGGTAAGAATTCTTAGTGGTATGAAAGAATGCGTGTCGCGAAGTGGTTGGAGGCGCCACTGCGACACACGTGGGATCGATCTCCGCGCCCATGGCCCACCAAGCCTTCCATACCTCCGGGGTCGCTAAATTGGTACCAGACGTGTCCGCGAGGACAGCAGCACTGGCTCGATACATCAGTAGGCCACCCGCGAGTCATTGTAAAGGCCAGATATGCATTCAATCACCTCCAACGATACTTATTGAAGTCGAATGCATGGCGTATCCTTCAGGGATTGATCAACCCCAAAAGCTTTATCCTTTATCCTTTATGGAAAGGTCATCAGTGTAATATATCTCACATACTATAGCTGTTCACACTGATTCAGTGAATAGGATTTTGTATATTGAGAACTTGAGTAACACAGCAGAATACCGTACTGCATACAGTATACCAGAATATAAATAGTGATAAAGACTATTTTTAGGTTGTTCAAGAAGCACTGGACGTGGCACGACAAGGCAGAACTTGCATCGTCATTGCACATCGACTCTCAACAGTTCAAAACAGTGATGTCATAGTGGTAGTGCAGGATGGAAGAGCAATGGCGATGGGTAAGAACATCTAGGTTTACAGATTTGTTAGTATTGAAAGCATTTCTGATGTATTGTTGCTTTATTAAAAGCAATCAGTGGCACAGGGACTTGTACGGATTAGAGGTACCACACGAAACACATGCTTGCCGGTTCGACAGCAACTCTTGGCCCTTATTCATCCAGTCGTTGCAAATTGGTACCAGTCTGGCAGGACCAAAAAACTAGCTTGATACATCAGTAGGCTTTCACAAGTTGATACATAGGAGAGATATGCTTTCAGTTTCTAAGATGCTTAATGGAGTCAAATTCATGGTGAATCCCAAAGGTGTAGGTCAACATCGAAGAGTTTGTCCTCTTAGTCTTTTTTTCATTTGTGACTACAGTATTAGTGTTGCTGGCGGAACAAGTAGAAAGTACATTAGCGTGTAATTCAGTTAGCGGGGCTTAAATGCAATAGCGTTTAGAGCTTTTGCCACTTGCTATCTTTCTACATTTTTTGAGTATTGGAAAGAATGGGATCGTTATCTCTCAGCTAGTCATAAGCTTGATATATAAATCTGTTGTTAAGGTCGTTATTAATGGATGTAGTAAATAATCTTAACCCTTTTATTTACTGCCTTTTTTTTTAATGGCAGGGTATGTTGCGAGATATAACTCGTGTGTAATGCTGAGATATTTGCAAAACTCCGGACCGCAGGTGTACGCGGTGGGGAACGAACGCGCGCTATTGTCCTTGGCAGGACCAAAAAATTAGCTTGATACATCAATAGGCTTTCACAAGTTGATACATAGGAGAGATATGCTTTCAGGTGGGTGAGACCCGGACGGTGTGGTGGTGAAGTGCGCTACTCCCCGAAAGGACAATAGCGCGCGTTCATTTTCCACCGCATACACCTGCGGTCCGGAATTTTGCAAATATCTCAGCATTATGTACGAGTAGTAAGTAATGTCTAGTAGCTTCGGTTTCAGGTACGCATAAACAGCTGCTAGTGAGAAGTAAACTGTACAAAAGACTATGCGATACACAACGCCTTGTCCAATCATAGGTTTATCATGAAGTATCTCAATCGGTATCACTATGTATGCTACGGTGTATTTAGTACTACAAATCTATTTCGTTAAACTAATAACGTTATAATTGTCATTTTTGCTTCGTGCTACTTTTCATTGTTACTGCTTCATTGATTGTGCATAAAATGACGTGTAAGATGCTGTTGTTTTGTGTGCTGTTGATTACTTGAGAGGCTAAACTGAACGGTACATCTGATGATGACTGCCAAGAGTACGAGGTCTGCCGAACAATAACCAATTAACCAGTTATTTAACAAGTTAGCATTCATTATATTAAAACGATAAAGAGGTCTGATGATGGTTGGGAGTTTATGTGTAGGAACTGGTAGGAACACTTTTTAGAAGTTCCTTTTTGGATTTTCGGGCGAGACTACAATAGGGCCTTCTCTAAGTCCTATCCATAAATGCATGCTTCATGTGATCATATTCTTCATACTAGCACCAAAACCTGCTCTATTGTTCTTCTACTCCACGACAGTGCGATCGATATGACCAAGTAGGACGGAAACTGTCTACGTAAATATTCTTTGGCAGGCAGAAACAATGTCCTCGTATGTAGATAGCTCTGTGCGAGGTTCCATGTGGAACTAGTAGATGGTTCTCAATCTTCTGTGTTTTTCAGGTAGGTTGAAAATTATTATTATAAGTATGGGCATTTATACAGTGGGTTTTTGGTCGACCGACTTGTTTTAGAGGTTTTTCAGACATGAGGAAGGGCTTCGTGGCACAATTTGTTCAACTTCAGAGTTAGTTATGCAAAGTGTGGTGGAGCGCTATTGTACAAGATGAGTGGACGTTTCTTTCGGTCTGTTGTGGAACAATAAATTCTAATCTTTGCAGAATCCGATCCACCTTGTGACAGTGCTTTTCTGCTGTGATCGTTTTGGCCTAGTCCATCTGCAGAGCACGAATATACTGTAGTAACCACCGTTTGGCACATCAGCTTTTTGGAATGTAAAATTCCTATTTCAGTCCGTTCTTCCTGCTGTACGTCGTCTAGTGTTATGGAATCCATTGGTCATCGAACGATTAAGAAATCGATAGGTTTTGCTGTGTGGAAGTGGCGGAGAATAGATTTCGTCAGGACCATCTCACTATCATTCGTTTAGTGCATGCGACGTTCACTTGCGGAATCCTGAATATCGTTTGCTTGGGACTACTCAAGTAGTTATTTGGAAGGTCCGATGATCAGCTTCAGATGCGCGTCGCTAATCTAACGGGCATAAACGACCTCTTTCATGAAAAGTCAAATTTCCAGTACGAACTCTTGCGAATCAACTCTGAATTACACTTACGGAAACTCTTTCCCCGCTTATGCACTAATGGTATTTCGAGTTAAAATCACAATGTTTACTTTTGTATTTTGTGCTTACTACAATTTTCACGGAAGGTTATTATACGAAATACAGCCACAACGATGCTGAGATATTTGCAAAACTGCAGACCGCAGCTGTCTGCGGTGGGGTAAGAACGCGTTATTACGCTTTCCGGGGACTAACGCGTTCACCACCACACCATGCGGGTCTTTCGTTTCGACTGTCTCTCAGCGTTGCTTTATGACCGAGTTAAAACTGATAAAGCAAAAATAGATGATTTTCATGATTTAATGAGTCGTTCCAACAGAGCATGGTAAGCCTAGCACTAGAAAAAAACAGTAGAGAGGAATTTGATGAGAGAGAAATACGTGTGAATGTTTGAAGCAATGTTAGAAATAAATATTTGCTCAAAAATGCATTTGTGGTGCTTATGATTACGAAATTTGCATAGTCGTTCTACGTTAGCATATATTCGGAATAGAGGACGAATAAGAAATAATAAAGCGTTCTGCGCTAATCAGTCCCTCAGGATTGAGTTAGAATGATTGAACGTATGTCTTGCCTACATAATGGTCTCCACTGGGCTACCGATCTATTGAGCAGTATTCTCACCCTACCGGACAAGTCCGGTACCGATTCGACAATCCAGAGAAACTTAAGCATTGCTAAGCTCAAGGTGTAGGATCGCACTAATGATCACGTATGTGCACTAGGGCACCTCTAACCTGCTACACGTGGCCATCCTAAGCTTAGAGAACGAAAACATTCTTTGAGGCATGGAATGATTTTAGTGCTCTCCTAACCTACAGCGATGCTCAGTGTAACTGCGTACCTACCCAGGTGCGGTTTTTTAAAGGCATTTGTGGTTTTATTTAGCAAAGGAATACAATGAGAGGGTGAGCAGCGCAGCGATAGCGATGCAACTTTCATCAAAAATACTAGTGCTGCTGACAAAAGGATGGTTCTACAGAGTTGGTGAGGAATTAAACCACCCGTGGCAAACTATTTAAGTTCACGAACTTTTTAGAACATTCGAGAAGACTTGGCTTTCATTCAAAAGCAAACCAGCGTGGCGTGCAAATAATAAGGAGAAAATATATGCATACTTATTATCTGAGTGGTTATCCACGTTGGAACAGTTTGATACACAGAGATGTAGGCGTTACCACCGTCAACAACAACTGTGGATTGGGAGGAAATTTGTACACAACAGCAATGTCTGCGTGGCTCTTCGATTTCGATGGTGACAAGACTTCCGTAATTCTCTGGAGTCAGAGGCCGTACTGCTCTGTGGACAACTTCAAGAGGCGACATCATTTAGAAAAGCATTTAGGAGAGACTACGTGCAAGTCGGATAAGGTACTCTTCTGTCATTGCTCTCCTTCAAGGAGTACTTGTGTGCTCTTGGCTATTGGAGTGTGACAGCCAGTAAGCCTTACGCTGCTGAAAGCAGCGAGAAACGGCTATAGAAGACATCTGGTTGCAATGAGCAAGAACTAAGACGATAAGGAAGAGCTAGAGCGTGCTAAAAGGAGCTTCGCTTCTGGTTAAAAAAAGGAAGCTACGGCCCTCAGCCCAACTAGTACTGAAATAAAACTCACTTAAGGCTTTTGTGCTCTGTCGGTGGGAGCGGTTAGCACAACATGCTGGTAACTATTGTTGGAGAACGAAGGTTGATATAAACATCATGTGAAATTATATTTCTCCGACCAATTGATGCTATAATGTGAAGGTAACTAGTGGGTGAATGAGCGCCTCCTATTCTTTAAAGCGCGTAAAAGCACGTCGCTTCGATGGCTCATCAACTATGGAAAGAGTGGATGAGAAAAAGCTTCAAATAGTAAATAGAAATATTTCCATTTTGCGCTCGGTGACTATTTTTTATCTTTTTGGACAAATTACACCTAACCTCCTTCGCGCTATCGTAAAGCCTCTTCCTCTCTTTTGTGTGGAACAGCACCCTGGCCTGCGAAACGTACTCAATTTCTATATAATGCTTTACCATTTATCGGCAGTTCCTTGTATTTCTGTTTTATTAATTATATCGTATGAAACTAACTGCTCAACTTTTAAGGAGTTTGTGTCGAAATCGATATCTATTCTAAGCTTGCGTTAAGTGACCGATTAACATGAAGCTGATGTAATATACTGGAAAGAAGTTGTGCTGAAATTATTCCAAAAAACACAAACAGAGCGTGAAAGTGATGAAGCAGTTTTCGGCAAACTCAGTACAACTCCTTTAGGGAAATACTGAAGGTGCAATTTAAATCTGCGCTTCCATGTAATGGTGGCCCCAAGAGTGGATACGGTATAGTTTAAGCTTAACACTATGCCTAGACCTTGGTATAAAATAGCGCTGTTTCGGCATTACTTTTCCAGCTTTAACTTTACAGTTCGAGCAAGGAAAATGAAATTTAGTTACCAAAAATTTTCGTAAGATTATTTTTTAGCGAGTTTAAAAAGACATTTCTCTCCTCTTGTTCCTTAATACTTCCATGCTGAATGAGACAACTCTTTCGATTGAACTCAGTTTTTCAATCAATTAAGGGAAAAGAGAAAAATAATACGTTACTGCTAATGTATTGGGTGCAAGCATAGACTGGTCGTCTTTTGAAGAATCATCTGGTGCAGAATTCGTGCCCAAAGCCAACACTAACTCTCATTTCCAAAACTTTACTTGTTCTGTAATTAGTAGCGCAGTGTTTTTCCTAGTTCCTATTAATCTATAAGACCAATTTCTTCCTATCGATTGGTCAGGATGACGGACATCAGATGTACCCTTGGGGACATATTAACGCCTAAACGGAACATGGATATCACATCCGTGATAGCTGATCCAGATACTCATTCGGTCTCAGAAAATTTTTTTTGGTAAATTGATGTTAAATCTTTTCAAAAAAAATTTGAACACTGAGTTGTTTTTCCCATGACCGACTTTCTGTTAACCTCGGCATTAATTGATAATTCAATGTTTTTCATCAATAAGCAGACACGAGGTTGTTAATATCGAATTTATTAGAACACAATTGCTGACGTTTCGGCGGTTTCGCCTTCTTCAGAGCCTGGAAAGGTCAAATTGAGATGTGATTTACTCAGCCAAACACTTTCACAACCCTAGCAGATAAAACTTGACAAATCGATTTGCATTCGCATAAGAAACAGCTTCATTCAAACACCTACCGTTTATTTGTTGTAAGTATTTAAGTTAGTTGGTGGATAGCCGCCGCACAGAGTAATACATGGTCGATAACTGTGTCCATGTCAGGTCATTGGATCAGCCTGAGGTATGGCGCTAGGTCACGCGTGATGACAAGACACTCCTCCATGCGGTTCATTTTTGAATTTTTGGCATTGATCCAAAAGGCTTCAAGAGTTTTACGCGCTGATGTTTTCGATTCCTGTGTAAGGATAGTGACTCCTACCTCAAAATCTTCTCCGTTGTGTTCTTGGATCCTATGCGCGCCTAGTGGTGTATTTTGTTTTAGTTTAGATTTACCGACTAGGTGTTCTTTTATGCGGACGCAGAGCGGTCTACCCGTTTCGCCAACATATTCGTGCCCGCACGCTTTACAAGAGATCAGATAGACTGTACCCGAACTCATGCAATCACCGTCTCTACCATTTGGGCAAATTATGCAGTTTTTTGTTGTACATAGACG